TTAGGGCACCCTCTCCGAACCAACCTCGATCCTGTACCTCGGTCCGACTGTATCCCCCCCCCCCAAGTCATCACCCCTCTCGTGGCCGCCCCCCGAGAGGAGGCACAGGCCAGCCCACCCCGCCCCCCCGGGTGGGTCCCGCGTGGGCTTCGGAGAGCTTCTCCCGGATCATTTCCAGCTGCGGCTCGCGCAGCGCGAAGTTGAGGTTGCGGTGCACCTCCGCGCGGCGGCATCCGCTCAGCTCCGTCGCCTCCAGTGCTCAGGCACTCGTCCACGTCGATGTTGTCGATGTCGTCGATGTCGTCGTCGTCTGTTGTCATCGTCGTCGTAGTCGTCGTCGTCGTAGTCGTCGTCGTCGTCGTCGGCACCGTCGTCGTCGTCGTCGTCGTCGTCGTCGTCGTCGTCGTCGTCGTCGTCGTCGTCGTCGTCGTCGTCGTCTGTCGTCTGTCGTCGTCGTCGTCGTCGAGCGTCGGCAGCGGCGGCGGCGGCAGCGTCGGCGTCGTCGAAGTCATCACCGTTCACGCGGAAGGGCCGGGCGGCCAAGCAGCGGAGGCGAGGGGAGGGGCAGGACTCTGCTGCGCCAACACCAAAGCGGGGGGGTGCGTCCGCCGGGGGAGGATGACCCTAGGTTTTGGTTTTAGCGATCTTTCGGCTACCTGGATGCCCGAACATTACTGACCACCATCGCCGAGATCGGGATCATCTTCCCTCGGTGGAGGCACACCGCCCACAGTGGTGCTGGTGGTGCTGACCTCCAGGCCTCGGAGTCTGGGGCCTCCTGGAGGTCCCTCGTGGACACGGCTGGGCGTGGCTCGAGCGGATCGTCAGGATTGTCTCCGGGATGGATCGCGGGTCTGCCCGTCGATAGGCAGCGCGCCCGGGGGGGAAGTGAGAACAAGGCGGGCCTTCTCAGAAGGCTCGGACCCCCCCAGCCGTCTGAGGAGTTTTCTAAGCCTTCCCCGAAGACGCAGGAGACTTCTCAGACGGCGCGAGGGCGTCTGAGACGATCGGCCGCCTTCCGAGAAGGCCTTCTCCTTCTCACTTCCCCCCCTCGCTCGCTGCCGACTTGAGCGAACACAGCTGGGCCAGTCCACGTTACGGCAAACTCGCGAGAGGGCGCTTCTGTTGCGATGTCGGCGGACAGGAGACTGCCGCTGGACCACGAGAGGATTGGGGAACGTCGCGACGGAAGCCACCAGTCCATGGGGATGTGGTCAAGAGATCCGTCTGGGCCAAGGCCACTGCCAATGCGACCCTGAGGGCTGATGAGCTGCCCCAGATTCGGGGGCGCGTCAACATGGGTTAGCGAGCCAGGGATTTGGCGCGCGGTCGCCAAATCCATGGATCGGGGGAGGTGCCCTCCCCAAAATGCGACCGGTGCCGCCTCGCTCGGCGGCGGCGATTCGCGATTTCCCGTGGAAACCGGACCCGTCGCCAATCCACGCTCCTTTGATCCAGGCTTGCGATCGTCAGATCTGCGGGCTGGTGAGATGCCCCAGATCTTCCAAAATCGGGGATCTTCTGACCCGGGTCAATCCAGACCCGGGTCAGCAGGAAACAAAAAAACTGCAATGCATGAAAAAAAGCTGCAACGCAGGTCTTCGCAAACCCGGGTCGGCCAACACGAGCGGCCGCCTCGCGGCCACGAGCGGCTCGCTAACCCGGGTCAGCCAAAGGGGGTCTTCGCAGGATCCTGCAGAATCCGGGGCCCTGGCTGACCCCCGTTTGCATTGACCCCCGTCTCGAGGCTCCCCCGTTGGCAGGCGGCCTCCGTTGGCAGGCGGCCTTCTGTCTCAAATGGACACAATCCGCGGCGACGCCGACAGCGAATCCTGTTCTAGACGAACACGAACTGCTGTCGGTCTTTGTACCCATTCTTTTCGTACCCACGTCGGTCGCCCCGAAGATCTTCCAGAAACTTTGAGCATCCTCTCTTTTCCGCCCACCCACCCCCGCTTCCTCTCTTTTCCGTTGGACCGAGGGTTCTCTGCGTCTGTGTTTTCCCTTCCTGAGAACCCCGGCAACGCCAAAAACTTGTGTTATTCCTCCGGGCCTGTCGGCGCGTGTGAGAGGCCTGGGCGGCCGCGTCAACCCGCAGGGGCCAGGACCAGCCACCCGGGGCGCACGCCAGTCCGGGGGACCTCGAGCCATCTCTTGTCATGGCGTCCACGGGGAGCCCCTCCCGCTCGACCGCAGTTGGTAGTCAACATGACATGATAGCGACTTCGACCCCTGCAACTTTCCCGTGGATTATAAAGTTCGGCCTCCGCGCCCTCCTCCACAAATAAATCCTATTGGCCGGAGAAAGCAAACATTCGGGGGGTTAAGGGGGGGGTACTTTATGATCGCTCTAGGTGAAGCATTCCCCCCTGGGAGGAGCGCTTGCCCCGCCCGATCGGCCCCTCTCCGGGCGGCCAATGTTTTGCGCTCGTGCAGGGGGGCCCTGACACATGACGCGAGGGCTCCAAGGCGGGCCCAGCCCGCTGTCAGGACGGCCCAAGAAACCTCCAAGACGGCAGCGCGCCCAATAGTGTCCCAACAACCAAGAGCGTTGATTTACAGTGCCGTGTTTGTTTCATGATGCTAGTTTCTCACTGTTTCCTCCCTCCGACCTCCCAAGACGCTGCAAACAGCCCACAAAATCGCACCAGGATGGAGCACGAGGCTCCCAAGACAGATGGCCCAAGACGGCCCACAAAGCCTCGAAGATCACGCCGCGACTGCCGACGAGGCACCCCAGGAGAGCCCTAAGAACGCCCTAGAAAGTCGCAATCTGGTCCACAAAGCCTCGACGACCCCAAACGGCCAAGAGGGCCCCAAAACGGCTCACGCGAGCCCCAAGATGGCCAAAGACGGCCCAGAAAGTCTCCAAGATGGCCACAAAGCGGCTCGAGAGGACAAACGGCCTCCAAGAGGGTGTCAAGACAGCCACATGAGATCCAAGCTAATCACAGAGGCCTCGCGCGCCTCCGACCACCTCGTCTGTCATGAGTGACATTTTCAAGGATCGGCGGAACCAGCCGCAAGGCCTTCGCAATCAAACATTTTCTGTCGTCTCGCCTTTTCGCTTCTGATGGGACTCTGGGCCCTGAAGGAAGCTTCAAGGCGGCGACAAGAGCGACCGTACATCGTCCCAAGAGGTGAGTTGTCGGGTTTCGACGGGGAAACCCTTTTATCGATGGGCTGCAAGACTGCCCCCCAAAAGGGGCCCCAAGAGGGCCCGAAGCGAGCCCGAAGGGGGTCCCACGAGTCCGAACGGCATCAAACATTGCAGTATGAGGCCCAAGCAAGCTGGTGAAAGGCTCCCAAGTCGAAAGACCAGAGGAGGCTCTGACTGACTACGTGGTCTGATCGGGCTGACTCCGAGATTCGGTCTGACTGCTGACCCCCCTTCGTTCCACTACTTCCATTATACTTCCCCTATCGAGGCAACTCCCATGGGCATAGTTTCTGCATGAGCTCGTAGGCCATACAACAGCGTCAGAAATCGGGCGCCTCTCGGATACGAGTTCATGGAAGGCGATCAGTGACTGGGAGACGAGATGTGCCCATTTTGGACCCCAAAGGCCCCATGTCCTGGGCCCTAGAGGACCCCCTTCAGCAAGGGCTCCCAACTTCGCGCTTCGCGCTGCGCGAAGCGCGAATAACTTCGCCCTCTCGCGCCGCCTCCCAGGGGAGAAGAGGAGGGTGAGGAATCGGGACCGAACCGCGAAGCGCGAACAACTTCGCGCCCTCGAGGGCGCCCCTGGTATCGCGCCTCCATTGCGCGTCCTCCGAACCCCTGGGGGACGGCATGCCCTGGGCGCCGCGGCCGTATGTTCTACGAAAAATAAAAACACTCAGAGAATACTCCAAAATGGAAAAACCATATTCAAAAACAAATCCCCAGACTATGTTTTGACTATTCTTGAATATTTCCCCTGTAGAGGGACAGGCCCGATTTAACTCTGGCGTTCTTCAGCACCCGAGAGCGGTTTGGGCAACGATCAGAAGCGGGTCTTACGCAGGGCGGCACAACGGCCTCACGCGGTGGCCGACGCAGGCCGCCAGCGCGGCCCGCCACGTCGGAGACGGGGACGCTCACGCGCGACCTCACGCGGGCAGCTCTGGCGCCAGTGTCGGCGCAGACGACCCCGCTGTCTTGCACGGCTCACGTGTGCTCTTGCCCTGCTTGCGCGAGATCGAAGACGGGAGGCCCCACATTTCCTGGTGGGCCCTGCCAGCGGAGCATACCACGCGCCACACCCCCGGGGGGCTGACAGTGCCCGAACTGCGTGGCAGAGGCATAGCGGTGGGACGCACCAACAACCTAAGGAGGTTACAAGGCCGACCCTCGCCGCGCCCTGCTTGTACTATTATGAGTTCGGGCCCTGTCGTGCGTGAGAGTTCAGAGGAGCATCGTCTTATTGTTTACTTCTGGTGGCCCTTCCGCATGCCCTTCCCCTCCTTCAGCTCCTCCTCCTCCTCCTGTCCATACTGGACCTCGTCCGCCTTCGCCCTCCTCTTCCTCCGTCCGAATCAGCACCATCATCTTTCTCGTCTCTTCCAAATTCCTGACCCCGTCATTTCTCCTTCTCATCCTCATCAACCTCCATCCCCACCTCAACCTCCTCTTCCTCCTCCTCCTCCTCGTCCGCCTCCTCACCCTCCTCATCTTCCTCCTCCTCCTCCTTCCTCCTTCCTCCGCTTTTCCCAATTCTCCTCCCCCTCCTCGCTCAACTCCCTCACATGTCCCTCCGTCTCCCTCCGTGTCAAACACTCGTCCTCCCTTCTGCACCCTGATTTTGAATGTCGTCCTGCCGCTCGCTCGCTACTGCACCCTGCTCATCCTCCCTCCTTCCTCCTCCGCTCTACCACCTTCCTTTCGCCACCCCTCTTCTCCCTCCCCCCTGTCCGCCTCCTCCAGCCTCTCCCAAAGCCCCAATCTTCGACACAGTCGTCGGCATCCTCATCCACCTCCTCATCATCCTTCCTGCTGCCCTTTCCACTGCCAAGCGCACCTCTATAGGATCCTCGATGCTGAAGCGCGGGAACCCAGGTCTGACCTGGAGCCGCTGCTGATTGAGCAAGCCAACATCGGGGGGGGGGGACTGACACGGGTCGGAAGGGGGACGGAGTCAATTGTTCTCCACCGGGACCCTGGGGGGTGGTGCACATGCACATACTTGGGCCCCGTGGGTCCCCGAAAGATCGATCCTCCAGGCATCGGTTAGGAATGCGGAAACCCCGCCTCGTCCCTTTCAACAATCCGCCCGACCACGCCGAAGCCATCGAAAGAGGCCCCGAGGGGCCCTGCTCGGGGGGGGGCCTCGAGCTGGAATTTCGGCGATGCATCGCCGATGGATCGGCAACAGACCCCTGGCAGCGAAACCGCACGGCCCTGGGCGGGCCGGGCTGTCGAGCCTCCTCGGCTGGAGCCACATCGGCTTGAGCCAGAGCGAGGACGGACGATATACGGCAGTTCGCGCGGCTTATGTTTCTCCCACCGTACTGAAGGACCACATCCCAGAAATGATTCCGAGCACCCAGGAAAGTATCGAAGCAGTGTCGAACGAGTATCGCCTCCCAGGAATGGACACGTGAAAGCCTTCCAGTTTCAGTGCTGTCCTGGTGCTCGAAATTATTTCTGGTGACCAAGGCTAAAGTAGGTTGGAACATCATAACGCGCGGCGTCGGCGCGCGCAAAAGTTTTTGACACCGCGTCGATCTCTCCACGTGGACTCGATCGCGGCCCCGAGCGTTCCAAAACTGAATTCCGTCAAGTCTGGTGGTGTTACCGCGTCCCTCGGCGCTTCCGCGTCGCAGAAGTCGATCAGGAATATCTTCGGCGTCGCCAGCGCGCCAACGTCGCAAAACCTACCGTATTTTGTTCCGGCCATCGGGATCGCCTGTCCCAGGGCGGCTGGAAGGCTTCTACCCCTACGGTGGCACATCTGGTCATCAAACTTTCCAGCCGCCCAGGAGCAGGCCTCCCAGACGGCAGATCAGATTATGTTATGCGTTCGTCCGCTAAGACGAGATGAGGAGGAACATCATGAAAACGCCGGGGGGGGGGAGGGTAAGCACTCGATCGCGATATCCAGACACGGCAAAGGCTTGCTATGAAACATCCAAGCTGCCCTGAGGGGCTGCTGTCACGCGTGCGACCTCAGGTACAATCATGCACCCCTGTGGCTTTCCAGGAAACTCCGAGGCTTCCACGACGGCCTTAGAAGTCCACCAAGGCTGGTGAGATGTCCCAACATTGCCTCAAGACGCACTCACGAGCCCCGAAGAAACGCTCAGCAGGTCCCCAGAGGCCAGTACAACCCGAGACGCTGATTAACCAGGAGGCCTCCGAGAGGCCCAAGCGAGTGATGCCCTGTAGGTTGTCCAGTGCTTCTCGATGTCCATGTTCTTCGGGAGAAGATCGAGCCTGAAGGAGCCCCATCAGAGACCTCAGAGGCGCCCTGACGGCCCAGAACGGCCCAACAAGGACCCAAGACGGCCTGAGAGGGCCTCCAGTCGCCCCAAGGGTGAGTGCACCAAGACTCCTCGCGACTGCCCCCCAGGAGACCCATACGAACGAGAGGCACCAGACGGCCAAATAGAGTCTCCAGACGGCACAGACGGGCTCAAGACGGTCCAAGAGGGCCCCAAGGGATCCCCACGGCTGCCTCACGGAAGGGAACGAGCGACGCTGCCACCGCCTAGCAGGGCCAGCGCCCCTGCAAGGCAGGCGGGCGTGCCTGCAGCGCGCTGGCCATCTAGGAGCACCAGGAAAAGGCCCCAACTCATACACACGATGAGTCAACGCACGTGCAAAATTGGAAGGGACAGGGGAGGCAAGAGGGAGGCAAGTGGATCAAAAGAGGAACAACATATGATTACTGGTAATATTAATACTCGTATGCTTTTTTGCATATATACATATGTAAAACCCCGGGTCGTACCAGTTGTCTGCATATACATACATATATATACATACATATGTATATATATATATCTATATACAAATCAGAGGAACAAACTATGGTGCGGCTCATCACCTACAGAAGAATCGCACGTGCGCGCTCTGGCATTCGGACCATCCGTATATGCTCCGAGCTGCAGATACCTACGACTCCAAGTACATCTCGCGAACGAACGAAAGAAACAGGCCGCCGTCCCATCTTGAAAACCGCCCTGGGCGCAAACGGGTCAAGACGCTCCCAAGGCAGGAGCCAAGACATTCCCAAGACAGGGAACTTCCTCACTGCCCCGACCAGCGTGTGGCCTGGGTCCCACTGCCCGATGTACCCCCCTATAGATGGGGATATGGGCTGTTTCCTCTGGGTTTCGATGGGTATATTCCTGACTGGGGTGGTGGTCGGCGGCGACGATAAAGGGCAAATAGCCCAGGGGCGGGCATTACACGTATTCGCCCAGGAGCCTTGTCGAAGACATAGATCATCGGCGCCCCTGGGTACATGCATTGCTCCCCCCTGGGCTATTCGTCCCTATCGTCGCCTCTGAGGTGGGATGGTGGGGATGGGGATGGGGAGCACAACGACATTCCAAAGACCTGTCCAATGAGAACTCCTGAGCAAGCGGCAACGACCGAGGTGCTGCGTGTGACGGCCTCCCGGGCGGTGCTCCGAAGACGGTCGCCACACGGAGTCTGCCGCTGGCACGGTGGCGTGGGCCGCTTGTTGGCGGTAGAAATTAATGATGGGCCTGTTTTCCACCACCACCACAACCACAAGTTGGATGGGGGGAAGGAGGAGGAGGACGAGGAGGAGGAGGACGAGGAGGAGGAGGAGGAGGAGAAGGACGAGGATGAGGAGGACCCCCTCCCCCTCCAACTTATGGCAATGGTTGTGGAAAACAAGCCCATCAATCAATTGAGGGCCACGGATTGCACCGGGCACCCACGCCGACGGATGTCTGAAAGATGGCCGCCCTCGCCTTTCTCGTCTTCTCCTTCGCCCCGGAGCCCATTGGAATCGAGTGGCGCTTCCCTTTACTGTCCGATCGAGTCTGCAACGGGTAGCTGGATATAACCAAACTCGTGCGGCATAGAGCGCCGAGACTGCACAGCGAACGAATGTGCGCCGCTGCCCCAGCCGCGAGGATGACGACATCAAGCGGCATACAGACCTGGGAACAACAAAAGCAGCGACCTGTCTCTGCACTCCGAACCTGCGCCTCTTGTGGACGACCTGATAGGTGAGCTCGTCGCTGAAGGCCACGTCCCCCACCTCGCGGGGCATGCTGTTAAACGGCTGAGAACACTAGATGGAAATGGGATTCATGGGGCTCTCTGGTAACATCGCGTCGCGGACCTCCAACATGCTTCCAACACATATCAGTATGATGCCCCCAAGGGGCCAGAACCTGTTCACAACCTGGGATGTTCCCATGCACAATGATTTATCAGACGAATAGTATTATCTTGTAAATTGGTTTGTGATAGCCCGGGTTATCCAGTGGGCAGCTCGATGCATGCATGCGCGCACGAATGTTGTGTACTACCTTCGGACCTGCGCAACCGACACGTTCAGGTTATCCAGTGGAGGGGGGAGGGATGGGGGGCGAGCGCCTTAAAATGGGGCATTAAACCGGGGTATCCAACCGGTTTCAAGATGCATCCACAAAACAGCAAGATGAGCCCAGAAGGGCCACCAGAGGGCCAGAAACCCGCAGAAGCACCTGAAGATCGTCGCAAGAAACATTCAAAACAAAAATCCCTGAATCCTCAGGGGACAGCGCCAGATACGGATTATGATGCTCTTACTCGCTTGATCACATGGCATCGAGGAACGCTCCAGCAAGGACGGTATCCCCCTAAGAGGGCCACAGCAGCCCAAGAATGTTCCAACTGCGCCCAGCATGACACCTAGGCAAAGGTTCTGGGACTTCCCCACGCGTGTCATTGTTGGGGGCGTTTGGGCCGAGCCCAACTTCGTATTCATACCCCCGCCTCGTTGGTTCGAAAATGCTTTAACTATTACTCTTCTCGGGCAACTCGCAAAAACATCGTTTCTGCATGGACTGGTCGGGCTGCGCGACGCGTTCAGAGTTGGCATGTTGGCAATTAAACTTGAACCGTGTTCTGGCAACGACGTTCGAGCGGAGAAACATTGCTACCCTCTTCGCCCCCCCTGCGTTACGTTCCTCCTGCCCCAACGTTCAACCGCATCCCTTCCCGTTGCTCCCATCCTTTACGCCACTCCTATTGTTCTCCGGCCCCAATCCCGACTCCAGACCGTGGGATGCCTCTACGTCCTCGTCCCGCAAAACGCGCTTTCCAACACGCGTCTCTGTATGTGTGTGTGTGTGTGTGCGTGTGCGTGTGCGTGTGCGTCTGCGTGTGCGTGTGCGTATGCGTGTGTGTGTCTGTGCGTGTGTGTGTGTGTGTGTGGGTGTGTGTGTGTGCGTGTGTGTGCAGGTGTGTGTGCAGGTGTGTGTGCAGGTGTGTGCGCGTGTTCCCCGCACGCTCTGAGAGGCCCGCCGCGCGCACGCGCTCGCCCGTCGAGTGACATTCCCCGCCTACACGCTACGCGCGAGGCCACGACGGTTAAAATGTGTGTGTGTGTGCGTGTGCGTTGCTCCTTCCACAGATAGACCAGCGCGTCCCACTACTCGTCCTGGATCCGCCGCGCGGGATCTACGATGAACATTACACCGAAACAGACAATCTGCGAGTAGGCACTTTGCGAGCAGGCACATTCGCGAATCGTGGAACGCGCTCGGCGACCCACTCGCGACCTACCCACATTGGTTTAACGGAATAAAAGCACCTGCGGCGGGCTCGTTGTATACTTTGTGAAACTTTGGCGCCTGCGGCGGGCTTCTCCAGAGTCTCGCAAACTGCCGACGTCCCCACCGCCCCCTCACTCTTATCCGCACCTGCGGGGTGCTACATTCCCTTGTTTCTCTATCAGCTCTTGCAATCTGGGGGGGGTGAGGACGCCCCCCCGCGCCCAAAAAATTGAGCCCCCAGGGTCCGTGGCCCCAGGGTTAGATTAGGTCGGCCCTACAGGCGGCTTCTGGGCGAATCATATCATATACTCAAGAAACACCAGAAAGAAAAAGCAATACTTAAAAACACAAAACCACCCCCAACTCATGTGTCTACTATTCTTGAATCTTCCCCCTGTGGAGGGACATGCCCGACCTAACCCGGGGGGCACCCTGACGCCCTGCAAAAGGCCCCCCCCTAGGCCCTGGGGCTGCCAAGGGGGCTTCTGCTTGGAGCTCCTGCCGAGCCTCGGGCACCGGGCCCCCACCGGCCCAGCTGTAGGGCGGCTGGCCGGCCCCGCGAGGGCCCCATAGGAAGGCCCTGGTCGCCCACCAGACAACCGGAGACGACCCAAACGAGCTTCAGACAACCGGAGACGACCCAAACGGGCTTCAGGAGGCCTGCATGGTTCCACGGCGACGACCCGGCCCCCAAGGCACCAAAGCGTTGACCCCAATGGTTCTTGCACGAGCTCGGGAACGCTCTGCTCTTCAGAGACTGCCCAGGAGGCCCAACAATCGCCCCCCACAACTACCCAGAAGGGCTCCCATACAGCGCTAGAGAACTCCCAGGCGGCCCAACAAGGAGGAACCCCCATGAAAACAGCTGACGAGGATGGGGAATAATTCGCAGGGTCAGGCGAGAATGAGGATGAGGAAAATTGAGGTTTGGATAATGAAACACATTAGTAGAATGACGATGTTGGAGAATGCGCCACAACGTCATCGCTAACTGTTATGGTTTACAGCATTGTCCTTCATGCCTGCATGCCAATCTTCGAAAACTGAATCGCGTGGCGCGAAGCGTTAATGCAGGCTTTTTCGTGTCTGGTTATACAGATGTTTATGTACACGTATGTGTATGTAAAGTATGTATATATGCGAGTGTGTATGTGCACGTGTGTGTGTGTGCGCATGTGCATGCATGCGTTCATGTGCACACATACATGCTAGCCACCGCGAACCCCAAATAGCGATGCCGTACAATAGATGCGTTTCAGCGAACGTGGTGCAAGTCAACGTGGTGCAATTTAGGTGGCGCAATCCATTAGCGGTCGCAGACCTAGACTTAGACCTCGCTCGCCATCTCGGGGGGGGGATCCCCGAAAATGCCGCCACATTCGAAGGATGCCAGGGGGCAGCGTCATGGGTACTCGCTGCTCATGCAGGCCAGACCTCCATCCCTGGGGGGCTGCGATTTGCAAACTTGTCGCCACCTTCTCGAGCTGTTTGGGGGGATATCAGAGCGTACACTCGCCGCAAATTCAAATTCGATCTCGCCAATCCTTTTTGGGGGCGACATGCGGAACTGTCGCAACTTGCGAGAGTTGATGTGGGGGGGGCAGCGCAGTGGGTATTCGAAACTGATCCAAATTAGACCTCGCCTTCCCTGGGGGGCTGCGATTTGCGAAACTGTCGCCGGGCCAACACAGTGGCGCCGTATGCGGACTGAGCTTAGACACGAAGTCAAGTCGCCAGGCGCGGACGTAGGTGAAAGATCGCCTTCCCGGGGGAGCCGCGACCTGCGAAGCCGCCACAACGTTCGAAAGCTGCTGGGGGGGGGCGCAATGACGCCATGCGTGGGCGCAGGCTAAACCTCGCCATCCCTTGGGGACTGCGGTCTGCAAAGCGGTCGCCACGTTCGAAGGCTGCTGGGGGGAGCAGCGCGCTGACGCCTTACGTGGACTGGGCCTGACTCAGCTTAAACCTCGCCATCTTTGGGGCGCTCCAATCTGCGAACGCAGCGCAACTTTCGAGAGCTGCTGGGGGGGGTCACCACAATGACGCCATACGTGGATTCAGCGTAGTCCTCGTCATCTCAGGGGAGCTGCGATCTGCAAAACCATCGCCACTTTGAACGGCTGCTGTGATGGGGGGGGGGCACATTTGCTTCTCACGCAGATCTAGATTCGACCTCGCCGTTTTGATAAGGGGGCTGCGATGTGCGAAATGGTCGCCTCTTCCGAGGGCCGTTGGGGAGGCCAACGCAGTGACGCCAAACGCGGAATCAGACTAGTAGGTACCCGCTGCGAATTCACCCTGGACCGCGCCATGCCTGGGGATCTGCGATCTGCGAAACCGTCGCTAAGCTGCTGGGGCGGAGCACAATGACGTCCTCCGCGGGCTTAGAATAGATCTCGCCGTCCCTGGGGGGCTGCGATCTGCGAAATCCTGCCGAGTTTCGATGGCTACATGGTGATGTCCTACACACGCTCAGATCCACCTCATCGTCGCTGGGTGGGGAAGGCTGCGAACTGCGAAACAATCGCCACGTTGGAAATGTGCTGGGGGGTCCAACGGAATAACGTCCCACGCAGTTCAAGACTCCACCTCGCCAGCCCTGGGGGGCTGCGATCTGCGAAGCTATCACCACTTTCGGGGGCTGCTGGGGACTCCATTGGAGCGAAGTTCTCCGCAGATTCAGACTCAACCCTGCCATACCTCGGGGGCTATGATCTGCAACATGGGTGTAGCTTTCGGAACTGCTGGTGTGTCCAGAATGGCGACTGGCCACGCAGACTCAAATTCGACCTCACGGCGCGCCTGCGCACTTGTACAAGCCGAATTGGAACATGCTGGGCAGGCGGCCAGAAGTTGGCAGAGCAGCTCGGCCTCGCGCGTCTCTTTCACTGGCTAGAAAAGATGGGTGGCGCGCCTCGGAAATTAGCCCCTCTCATTCCTCTGCCTGTCCCTCGTCGTCACGTCCTTCCTCCCCGCTGCTATCATCTTGCTGCTGATCCGGTGATGTTTCAAAATTATTGTTCGCCTGCTCCTCTTAATATTTGCTCATCGTTCCCTCTGGGCCAGGAGAATAACTACGCATCTCTATATTGCCTTGTCCATCGATCGGTGTCCTTCGAGTCGCGCAGCTCGCGAGCCTCCCAAGTAGCGTTTGCAGGCCATATACTGGTTGTCACGTGAGCACCCCCTTATGGAGTCTGCCTAACTATTTTGGCCACGCGTTGCGCCAAGCTTGGATGCATCGTCAGGGTCATTCTCCAGTCGGGGACCCATTTGTGCGCGCCCGCCCAAGGGGGAAGGTAACCCAACCACCCATGTCTAGTATGCGGAACCCCCCGCTTTGGGAGGCGCGCCCATTGAGCACGCGTGGCGGGTGGCCTCGACGACGTTGCCGTCCGATGTGGTGAGCTGTTTCTCTCTCTCTCTCTCTCTGTGCCCCTCTCGCCCCGCCTAGCTCCTCACTCCACGCCCTCCGTCTGCCACCTCCGCTCCTCCTCGCCCCGCCCTCCCCCCCCAAAACGCCCCCCTGCCCGCCACGAAAAACCTGCCTGGCGTCGCCCGCGCGCGCGCGAGGGGGCTCGCCGCCTCCCGCCGTTCGCCGAGGCGCACCGAGACGACCTGACGATCGAGGGAGGAGGGGCGGGCGAGGGTCGGAGGGGCTGGAGGCTCCGCGCCAGCGGGAGGAGAGAGGATGGAGGAGGCGGGGATGGGTGGAGGAGGCGAGAGGATGGAGGAGGAGAGAGGAGGAGGGGAGAGTATGGAGGAGGCGGAGGGGGGCGAGGCAGGGATGGGTGGAGGAGAGAGGAGGAGAAGACACCACGGGAAGGAGGAGGAGGAAGGAGGAGGGAGGAGGGAGGAGGAGGGGGGGGGAGGGAAGAGAAGGGAGGGAGGGAGGGAGGACGGGCGCGCCGGAGAGAGGAGGACCAAGAAGGGCGGAGGACGCTTTTGTACGGCTTCAATGTCTGGGCCGACTGGAGGTTGCCGGAGGCCCCACAGGGCCAAACGCATCCAGAAACCATGGATCCCCGAAGCATCATGATGATGGGCAAATGTTCCACCACCACTACCATGTAGGACGGGGGAGAAAGGAGCATGAGGAGGTCCCCCTCCTCCTCCTCCTCCTCCTCCTCCTCCTCCTTCCTCTCCTCCTCCCTCTCCTGCCTATGGTAGTGGTGGTGGAAAATGGGCAGAAGCCTAATGCAGCATCCCGCAACGACCTCGCTTCTGTCCGAGAGCATCCAAGAAGAGTTCGACTCGACAGAGTTCCAGAGGCAGCGGGCAGTGGCGGGCGGGGTGAGGCAGCCTCGTCGCTTCTACTGGCTGCGTCCTCGTGGGGACAGGAACAACAGCTGCGAACGCAGCATGGAGGGGTGCATACAACCATTGACCTATGCGGCAAGCCGAAAGAGGCTAACCTGCAGTGCTTCGTCGTCGACGGCGCCATGAGCAGGGGATGAACAAACCAAACTGTTCACTCACACCCCACTCGCCAGGAAGGCCCCCAGGGTCGACGACCCAAGAGAGCAACGGCAAAACGGAGGCCGAGGAGGCAAAAGATCCAGCGGCCGCTCGGGAGGATTCGGGAACCCCAGGAACGCCGTTTCGACGAGGCGCAGTGTCCGAACGCATCCCAGGGCCTCAAAACAGCCGAGAACCAGCGACAACCTGCGACAAAAACAACAACCAATCCTCCGCCCCTGGGAGCAGCAGGCGTCGGCGAGGGTGTGGCGGAATGCAGTAGGGGGGGGGTGCACATCGGGGCCCTGGCCTAAGGCACGTGCGAGGAACAGAGGAGGGGGCTAAGGGGACGCGTCGACAGAAGGAGAGGACGGCCATGAAATTCAGGCAGATACCATGGCCCCATAAAATCTATCCCCACCCCGTTGTCCCCACCACTCTCGTGGAGAAGGTTAAGACAAAGCATGATTAGTACTCAATGCGGAAACGTCAGTGTAGATCTTGGTCATCGTCCATCTAAGTCATTGTCCTTTCAGTAGTCACTCTCGCGAATCGGGCACGTTCGGCATGAACCACGACCAAGATCGGCGTCGACAAGATCAAACGACATCTTGGTCACGGTCACCGTGCGTCGTCCTTCATCTGGACCAGATCGAATCGCCAGCGAATCGACTCGAAATCAGATCACCGCGCCCGGCTCCAGCTGGCAGGCACATCGAATCGAATGGGAATTGCGGTCCCAACCCCCGAATCGGGTCCGTCGAACCGCGATCATTATCAATGTTGGTCATCGCCAATTCGTGGATCACCCTCGCGAGTCGGCGACGGTCAGCATGAACCATGGCCCAGGTCGGCCCCCCCCCCCCGGCTTTCGACACGATCTGGGGCGACTGGGCATAGTCATGCGCGCTCTCTCATCGATATTGGTTGATGTGGAGGCAGGAGGAGGAGGAGGGGGAGGCGAAAGTCGAGGAAGAGGAGGTGAGGAGGAGGAGGAAGAGGAGGAGGAGGAGGAGGAGGAGGAGGAGGAGAGAGGAGGGAGGAGGAGGAGGAGGAGGGAGGAGGGAGGGAGGGGAGGACGGCCGGAGCATCGGAGGAGGAGGAGGGAGGAGGAGGAGGAGGAGGAGGAGGAGGAGGAGGGAGGAGGGAGGAGGGAGGCGGAAGAGGAAGAGGGAGGAGGAGGGCAGGAGGGGGGCCCCCGCAGCCCTCCCTGGCCGCCCCCGACAAGCGGGGGCGGGCCGCCTCCTTCTCCCAGCCGAAGCCGCCCGGGGTGGCGTAGAAGCGGAAGAAGCCGCGGAGCAGCAGGCCCAGGCCGATCGTACGCTTCGCGTAGCGGCGCAGCGGCTGGGCGCGGGTCTCCGCCCGTCGCCTTCGTCGTGGTCGTCGTCGTCGGCCTGCTCCTCGTCGTCGTCATCGTCGTCGTCGTCGTCGTCATCGTCGTCGCCATCGTCGTCGTCATCGTCGTCGTCGTCATCGTCGTCGTCGTCGTCATCGTCGTCGTCGTCATCGTCGTCGTCGTCGTCGGCGTTGGGGGCTCAAGCACCTGGAGTCCCGACGGAGAGGGGATCAGACTGAAACTTCCTCACTCGACGACCGCACCACACTTTCACGGGCCAGAGAGGGGGCGGGGGGGGCATGGACGACGGATGGCCAGAGCATTGTGTTCGATGTGCACTGATGAAGCTGGTATTCAGCAATCCGCTGGCGGCGAATACCACGGGCAGACCGGAACAGATTAGCAGTGCACTTCAGCAGTGGGATGCGATTGTCCTGACAGGGACGCATCAGTGGGCAGCGCCAGAACCGATGAAGAAGACACATTGGGGCAAAGAAAGGGACATGTGTTACTATGGCATGCGGTACGACGTTCACCGATGGCGCCGCGCTCGCAGATGAGGGCGCGAGTCTGTTGTTGGATATGCGCGGGGGCGGCCCTGACTTCTCGTTGCAGACGCGCGCCGGGGGGTGTCTTCAGACCCCCCGATGAGAACCAATCAGTTATATGTTCGGCGGCCTCATTCGCGAATGGGCGCTCCACCAACGGGGGGAGCGACAGATTCCCCCCCCCTGGGCAGGCCGCGCAACGGCGGCGCCGGCAGCTGCGACTGCGGTTGCGACTGCGACTGCGACGACGACCAGTCATCGCGCCTCAGGGGCGCTCCGATGGAAAATCTCGCCCCAGAGACTCGGCCCTCGGAGAATTGACGACGGAGGCTCCATCCTGAGTAGGGCCGCTGAAGCTCGATGCCCGCGAGGGCGCTCAGATACTCCACCCTCGGAAGCTTCATCCCTGGAGAGACCGTTGAAGCTCGGGCCGCGCGAAACCCGCAGACACTCCGCGCTCAGAAGCACCGCCCTTGAAAAAAAGGTTGAAACTCAAGCCCCGCGAGGACCCGCGGAAACTCCACTCTCCGAAAGCTCGGGCGGCGCTGTCTCGCAGCAGATGCTGTCCCCAAGGCGCCTCGCGCAGGCCCGCGCGAGGGCTGAAACGCTGGATAGCATCTTCGCCGGCCCGACGCAGGCCATCGCGAGGGCAGGACATGCGGGCCCATCCAGTCTCTGGAGAAGTAGGCGGCCTGGGCCCAGAGGGCCAAAAACTCCCCGAACCTCCGAACCTCCAGTCTGGAGAACAATGTCGAAGCTCTGGCCGACCGAAACCCTGGCAAATGGCATCCTCGGGAACTCCACCCTCAGAAGACCCATCCTCGGCGGCCGCTGATGCCCTCAAGGTGCCTCGCGCGGGCTCGCGCGAAGGCTGACGCGCGCGGGTGGCGTCCTCAGTGGCACGACGCCGGCCCTCATGAGGGCAGGAATTCCGGGCTCATCCGTCATTGCAAACGGCAGCGTGAGTCTACTCTCGCGAATGCCACGCGTGCTGGAACCTCGAGATTCGCTCGCGCGTCGGGTTTCTGCGTCTCAGCGGCGACGCCCTCGACGTCGCGCAACCGACGCAGCGGGCGTTCACTGTGCAGCTCCCGGCGCTCGGCCTTCATCCGCATTGCCAACATGCCGCCCCCTGGCTGAACATTTGCCCATATCAGTGGCCACCCATGGCACCATAGCGATGGCCTTCATCTTGGGCCAGTAAATGTCCGCAAGTTGTCTCACAGTACTTGATAAACCCAATGTCCATCTGCATTTTTCAACCAACCTGTGGTGTTGGGTCCTCGTTTTGAAGAGACGGTCCCCGTTTTCCCTCCATCCTTCCTGCCCTCCTTCCTCCCTCCCTGCTCCTCCCTCCTCCTCCTCCTCCCCCCGTTTTTCCCCCCTCACTGCGCGGCACCATAGAGGGCTCCACCGAAGGCCCCAGTGGGACCGTCCGCGTGCGTCATCCACCGCCCAGCACAACGCTTCGTGGCCCCATAGAGGGCTCCACCGAAGGCCCCAGTGGGACCGCGCGAATGCGTCATCCACCACTCAGCACGACGCTTCGTGGCCCCCTAAAGGGGGCTCCACCGAAGGCCCCAGTGGGGCCGCCCGCATGCGTCATCCACCACCAGGTAGGAACGCTTCGTGGCCCCATGGAGAGCTCCAACGAAGGACCCAGTGGGACCGTCCGCACGTGTCATCCACCACCCAGTACAACGCTTCGTGGCCCCATAGGGGGCTCCTCCGAAGGCCCCGGTGGGACCGCCCGCACGCGATTCCACCACCCAGCACAGCGTTTCGTGGCCTCATAGAGGGCTCAACCGGAGGCCCCAGTGGGGCCGCCCGCATGCGTCATCCACCACTCAGTAGAACGTTTCGTGACCCCGTAGGGAGCTCCACCGAAGGCCCCAATTGGACCGCCCGCATGCGTCATCCACCACCCAGTACAGCGCTTCGTGGCCCCATAGGGGGGCTCCACCGAAGGCTCCAGTGGGACCGCCCGCATGCGTCATCAACCACCCAGCGCAACGCTTCGTGGCCCCATAGAGGGCTTCACCGAAGGCCCCAGTGGGACCGCCCGCACGTGTCATCCACCACCCAGTACAACGCATCGTGGCCCCATAGGGGGCTCCACCGAAGGCCACAAAGGGACCGCCCGCACGTGTCATCCACCACCCAATGCAACGTTTCATATCCGGAATTCGCATGGCGGCGGATTCTTTATTTCCGGAGGTTTTTCGTCGTACTCGACGTATTGAGGCCGCTTTCGAGCCGCGCGCCGACATGGGCGT